GTCAGTCAGTCAGTCAGTTGGTCAGACAGACAGACAGACATGCAGTCAGTCAGTCAGTTAGTCAGACAGACAGACAGACAGACAGGCAGGCGGCCTGTCATGCTTACGGCTGAAAAATGAAGCAAGAACAGACTTTGGAGCAAATGTACGAGATGGGCGCGATTTTTCAATTAAAACCCCACTGGATCAATTCTTCCGAAATTCGGTCGAAAACTTTTTTACCCACTTTCGCTCTTTAAAGCACCTTTACGAAGCAACGACTAAAGCTCAACCGTCATATAAAAACACATAGTCATTTTCTAGGTCTTTCGGAGGTTTATAAGGCTTTTCTAAAAATAAATGCTTTTCTAATAAGAAAATGATGAAAATTCACTAAACCTGACGAAACTCATTATTACAGGCGTCACAAAGAGTTTTCTGATCGAATTCTTTTAAAATTTTCAACTCATTTGGCGGTTCAGGAGGGTAGAGGACAATTGGGTGAACAGAACATCAGGAATGAGCATGCTTCATATTCTTCTTCTCTGCACAATTCAACTTCAACTTTGTTGATTACGCTGTGGAAGGCTGACAGTAGCCAAAAAAATGGAGTCGCAAAGGACCCATTACAGTAGAGCATATACTTTTGAGCCGCTGCGGTAGTCTGAAGGCGTGTCTTGTTAGGTGTTCATTTAATAAGATAACTATAACCACGATTGATAGAATTCTATATGCTTTGATATTAAACCTGCCAGGAAAAGTACAGTAGAATCGTGGACGGAAGGATTGGGGTTATAGTGCTATTTTTTCACCATGCTATATGCGCTATGAATGGAGGACAGTGAGTCCTCACCAGAACCAATGGAAGACCTGAACAGTAGCTGATAAGCAACTTGGCAGAGGTAACATGGTAGCAGAATGGCAAAGAGGTCAGCTTCAACTCCATAGATGCCCAGTTCCAACACCGATGGACATCGCCCTTTGTTAACCACGAATTCCCTTAAGCAAGGAATTAACTCAGCTTGCTCTGTATCAGCTAGCCGAGATGTGAGTAATAAGTCAGTGACTTGCAAATCATTTTGACAACGTGGCGTTATACTCCGGTTATGCCAGAATCGAGGACGTAATCGAAAAAAATACTACTCACCGCATGGGTGAAAAGTCCACTAGAGTAGCTCTGATCTGCTTTCCCCATAGACGA